TTTTAGTTGTTTTAAGAGCTGCAACTGGCTTTGAATGTGTTGGGTCATCTTGAGGACTGATAGACCTCCTGTCAATATAGTCTATAAGTCAAGGGGGCATAAAAAGGGAGCACTAGGAGGAAAGGCACTAAGAGAAAAAGGGTGTGAGTAAGGGTTGTTACAGCAAGGGGAAAAGAGTGTGTGAAGTTTGTTACAGTTTGTTGAGGGATTCTCATGCATGTGGCTGGATAGAATAAAGTTGTTACGAAAGGGTAGTATAGGAAGTAATTGTGTATAAATAGCTAGGGTGTGGTAAAGGAGGTATTAAGTTGATTCCTATAGGTTTTGTGGGAGGTCTCCAGCTCCTCGAATTGCTGGAAGTTGTTCTGGGATCACTCTTCTTGCTACTGATATTTTTCTTTCTGTTTCAATATTAACTTTCAGCTTAAATCCTTTGAGTGTTATTTCCTTTTAGCTCTTGTGTGTGTGTTGGAATTGAGTTATTTGAGCAGGTGGTTCCATCAATTTGGTATCAGAGCCAGGCTGGGTAATGGTAACGTCCAAAATGGAGAATAGAATGAAAAATGTTGAAAAGGAGATGAGGAATGTAAAGGAAGATATGGGCATAATGAAAACTGATTTGGGTAGTGTCAAGGAATACTTAACAGAGATGAGAGAATAGATGAGGCTAAGGGAGGAAAAACGTTACCAGGAGAAAATGTCTGAAACTTCAGAAAATCAAAATTCCAGCAGAGACAAAGGAAGTGAACGAAATCAGAGTGGGAAAGACGACAAAAAAATTTGCAAGCTCGAGCAACCCATTTTTAACGGGGATGATCCGTTTGGCTGGACTTTCAAGGCCGATAGATATTTCACCATTAATTGTTACGAAGAGAAGGAGATGGTGGAGGCAGTAGCCATGTGCATGGAAGGAAGAGCCCTAAACTGGTATCAATGGTTGGAATCCAGAAGACCAGTTCAGAGCTGGAAAGAATTTAAAGTGGCTCTAATTGACAGGTTCAGACCATCATTTCAGGGTATAGCCTGTGAGACATTAGTAGCACTAAGGCAGACTGCGTCGGTGACAAAATACCGTGAAGAATTTGAAGCTCATACAGCTCTGTTGAAGGAAATAGGAGAAGAGATGTTGATGGGAATTTTCATCAATGGTTTAAAAGAAGAAATCAGGGCTGAGCCGTGTATTTTACAGGCCAAGGATTTGGGTGAAGTGATGGAGCAGGCCCATTGAGTTGAAGAAAAAAATTTGGGGCCCAAGCTGACTAGAGCCCAAAACAATAAAGGAGAAGCTTATTCACAGGTCACACCAAGCCCAGAAAGTGGGCAACCCAATTTATGGTTCAACGCAAACAAAAACCCAGGTGAAAGTCTCCTTGCGTCAACGAGATCCAGCGACAGAAGAGAAACACCTCCATCGACGACAGCTTCGAGCTCCAGAGGCGAGAACTTTCATCGTCTAACAGAAGCAGAAATCCAACTCAGAAGAGAGAAGGGCCTTTGTTTTAGGTGTGACGAAAAATTCAGCCCTAACCACCGATGTAAGAGCAGATCTCTGCAGGTCTTATCAGCTTGGGAAGAGGAGGATCCAAAGAAGGGAGAAACAGTTCCAGATAATGACGAAGAGCCCAATACTGAAGGTAATCCTCTGGCACTATCCATGAATTCTATCGTGGGAATCACCTCTAACAAAACTCTGAAAATAAAGGGGGAGATTGAAGGAGTGGGAGTTATTGTGTTGGTTGACAGTGGGGCATCCCACAATTTTATTTCTCAAGAATTGGTACGTAAACTAGACATGCAAATTGAAACAGGAAAAAAGTTTGGAGTAATGGTGGGTAAAGGTGTCGACAGTACCACTGGAAGTTCAAGGTGTCAGGATTACACAGGATTTCTTCCCTTTTGACTTGGGAGGAGTTGATGTGGTCTTAGGGGTGACTTGGTCGAGCTCCATAGGTGATGTCTGTGCAAACTGGAGAAACCTAACAATGAAATTCGAATGGGAAGGTAGAAAGGTTAACTTACAGGGAGATCCATCCTTGGTGAAGACAGTGATCTCTCTAAGGGCCATGTTAAAGTCACTCCAGTCCTCGGAAGGAGGTTATTTAGTCGAATTCTATGCTATGGAAGGAGAGCTAGAATCAGATGAGGAACCTACAGATCCTAGGATTTTGTCATTATTGGAAGGTTGTAACCAAATGCTTGACCAACCTACTAAGCTACCCCCAGACCGTCAGCATCACCATGCCATAGTCTCGAAGGCAGGAGCTTGACCACCCAATATACGCCCTTATATATACCCCTATTTCCAGAAAAATGAAATAGGAAAAATCGTTGGAGAGATGTTGGTAGCAGGAATCATCCAACCTAGCACTAGCCCTTTTGCCAGCCCAGTATTATTAGTAAAAAAAAAAAAGGATGGGAGCTGGAGGTTTTGTGTTGATTATAGGGCACTCAATGAGATAACTATTCCCAATAAATTCCCTATACCCACCATCGAGGAGTTGCTGGATGAATTAGCTGGAGCTGTGTTTTTTTCAAAGATTGATCTCCGATCGGGTTACCATCAGATTCGAGTGAAAGAGGAGGATATTCACAAAACAGCCTTCTGAACTCATGACGGCCATTACGAGTTCTTAGTAATGCCATTTGGTTTAACTAATGCGCCATCAACCTTTCAAGCACTGATGAATACCATTTTTAAACCTGTTTTGAGGAAGTTTGTGTTGGTTTTCTTCGATGACATTCTGATTTACAGTCCTGATCTTGATTCTCATGTGTTCCATCTTGAACAGGCCCTTAAGATTCTACAGGACAACAAGCTGGTAATGAATAGGAAGAAGTGTCTGTTCGGTCAGCAGAAGCTGGACTACCTAGGCCACATAATTTCAGCACAGGGAGTAGGAGCTGATCCACGCAAAATTGAGGCAATGATTGAATGGCCTGTGCCGACCACTGTGAAGGGGTTACGAGGCTTTTTAGGTCTCACTGGGTATTACCGGAGGTTCGTCAAGGGATATGGCAGTATTGCACAGCCACTTACTGAATTGCAAAAAAAGGATGCATTCCGTTGGAATGAGGGAGCTCAAAGGGCATTTGATAGACTTAAGGAAATCATGACTACAGTGCTCGTACTTGCCGTCCCAAATTTTACACTTCCTTTTGAAATTCAGACGGATGCTTCAGGTCACGGAATGCGTGCAGTTTTGGTCCAGCAGTCCAGACCCATAGCGTATCTAAGCAAGGCCTTCTCACCACAAGCACAACAGAAGTCCGTATACAAACGGGAACTAATGACAATCGTTTTTGCAGTACATAAGTGGATCCATACTTATTGGGCAATCGATTCATCATCAGGATTGACCAAAGGAATCTACAATTTCTGACGGACCAGCGAATAAAAACCCCGGAACAGCAAAAGTGGCTGTCTAAACTAATGGGGTACTCTTTTGACATTCACTACTGGCCGGGAAAAACAAACACAGTAGCAGATGCTTTATCACGGAGAGGGGAAGGACTAGATTTGAATACCATTTCAGTCATCCAGTTTACAAAGTACGCAGAGTTAGCCACGGAAGCACACCAAGATCCCAAGTTACAACCTATCATTCAGGATCTTCTCTTTGATCCTAACAGCCGCCCACACTATAGACTTAGGTAGGGGTGTCTCCTGTATAAAAACAGAGTTGTCCTACCAAAAAACTCCAGGTTTATAGCTAAACTTTTGGCAGAGTTCCATTCCAGCCCAAGTGGGGGACATTCGGGGTTTTTCAAAACATACAAACGGGTGTCAAACATTGAGTATTGGGAAGGGATAAGGCAAGATATTCAAGAGTTTGTAAAGGCTTGCACTATCTGCCAAGTCAATAAATATTCAGCCCTCAAGCCAGCAGGGTTGCTGCAGCCCTTGCCAATACCGGAGCAGGTTTTTGACAATTTGACGATGGATTTTATTGGTGGTTTACCACGAGCAAAAGGTTTTGATAGCATTCTTGTGGTGGTTGATCGGCTCACTAAATATGCCCACTTCATCCTCTTGTCTCACCCATTTAATGCAAAAGAGGTTGCTACGATATTCATGAGGGAAATTGTTAAGCTCCACGGGTTTCCCAAGTCCATCGTGTCCGACCGAGATCGACTCTTTATGAGCCAATTTTGGCAAGAAATTTTCAGGGCAGCAGGGACCTCTCTCAAGTTCAGTTCCACATACCACCCCCAAACGGACGGCTAAACGGAAGTGGTTAGCAGAGGCCTATCTGTGATGCTTCTGCAGTTCCCAGCCTAAACAGTGGCCAAATTGGCTCTCTTGGGCGGAGTTTTGGCACAACACAACCTACCATCATTCCACAAAAATGACACCGTTTAAAGCTCTTTACGGCAGAGACCCCCCACTCCTTCTCAAGATGATCGATTACCCTTCCTCAGTGGAAGATGTGAACCATCAGCTCACCCACCGCAATGCCATTATTACTGAACTTAAACACCACTTGGAATCCCCTCAAGGGCACATGAAAGCGCAGGCTGATAAGCATCGCCGAGACATCAGTTTTAATCCAGGGGATTCTGTGTACCTAAAACTGCAGCCCTATAGGTTTAGGTCATTGGCCAAGAAATTAAATGAGAAACTCAGCCCTTGGTTCTATGGCCCATTCAAAGTGTTAGACAGAATTGGTATGACAGCTTACAAACTGGACCTGCCCCCTACTACCCGTATTCATCCGGTGTTCCATGTGTCCCAGCATACATACCTCTGTTCCAGTTCAACCACTTCCTAATTTTCTCACCGAAGAGATGGAACTACAGGTTCAACCCCAAGCAGTCCTGGCCACGCAATCCCTACTTGATGGCACCAAAGAGGTCCTCATTCAATGGCAGGATCTGCCCCCCTTTGAAGCTACATAGGAGTCCTTCGCCGTCATCAACACACAATTCCCTCAATTCCACCTTGAGGAAAAGGTGGCTCTCCTGGGGGGGGGGGGGAAGGAGGATTAGGAAAGGCACTAAGAGAACAAGGGTGTGAGTAAGGGTTGTTACAGCAAGGGGAAAAAAGTGTGTGAAGTTTGTTACAGGATTCTCATGCATGTGGCTGGATAGAATAAAGTTGTTAGGAGAGGGTAGTATAGGAAGTAATTGGGTATAAATAGCTAGGGTGTGGTAAAGGAGGTATTAAGTTGATTCCTATAGGTTTTGTGGTAGGTCTCCAGCTCCTCGAATTGCTGGAAGTTGTTCTGGGATCACTCTTCTTGCTACTGATATTTTTCTTTCTGTTTCAATATTAACTTTCAGCTTAATTCCTTTGAGTGTTATTTCCTTTCAGGTCTTGTGTGTGTGTGTTGGAATTGAGTTATTTGAGCAGGTGGTTCCATCAAGGACTGTGTGTGAAGAACTTGGTTCAATTGCGGCAATTTATGGAAAAGTAAGTAACTTGGAATTTGGTTAAGAAAGAGTGATGGAGTTGTTACATTGAGTTGGATTCCCATCATCATTAGCTATGCAGCTTTCTAACTGCCTGACCAGACATTACTAGGAACGTAATCATAACCATAAACACAACATATTATTATTTAATTATTTTAATAGCGGGGTTCAAATATAAGATTGGCTTGGGTACCATTTAGATAACAGTTTAACCCAAAAGATTAAGTTTATAGGTAAAGGTTGTTTTTACTGATTCATATAAAGTTGTTGGTGCTGTCTTTCTTGAGTCCTCTATGAAGACACTAAGGTCCAATATAGTCTGGGAGTTTTAGAATTAGAAATGGGGAGGAATCAATCTTTTTAGTGGCTAGATCTCCAGTGTCTGAGCGTTCTTTGCACTTCCCAGTTGCTAAACATTCATCTAGGTTATTCATTAATTAACCATAACTACAGACGACAACAATAAATACAACAATTTTTGCATACACAACATGCTATGATTTAATTAACACAATAAGTGGAATTGAACATAGGAGCACTTGGTCAACATAGCTCTAATACTATGTTAGTTAACCACTTAACCTAAATACTTAATAGTTAAAGGCCCAACAGAGTATTTCAGCTCAAATATAAATCAAGCTTAAATTCGGCTTAGACATTTGACTTGGCTTTATTTGCATATTCGACCTTGGTTCAATTCTGTCTGTTTGAGTTAGGATACTAAGAATGAAGCACCCATAATTGTAACAATATACTATGGAAAACTGGTTGATTGTTGCCTCATAATGCTAGTTCATGGTTAGGAGAAAGCCAATAACTAGGTTATTATAACCTGATGATGATGATTCCAAGCATCACTTGCAGTTATATTTTCTCCTTGTAAGTTCTTTTTTATATTTTTCTTTACATTTGTATGAATTGTTTTAATAACATATAAAATTCACCTTTGATCTGTGAACAAAATGAGTTTGGGATCTGGGAGATCTTTTTGCCTAACAATGCTGATGGGTCACCACCAATTCCCCATGGTTCTCGTGTGAAGGTAACATTTTATTTGGGAAAAGTTTTAGTTTGGCTCTAAAATTGTTTTTATTGCTACGAATGGGTTTGTGCTTTGTTTTTCCTTTTCCTCTTCTTTCCTCGCAGCATACAAATGTGTTTCTCTTCCCTCATAAGTGAAATTTTTATTTACTACTTTAGTTGCAGAAATGATTTCTCTACTATTGGTCTAGATTAATAAGTACTGTAGTTTAAGTTGCAGAATTGCTTTTAACAAGTTCTCCCAGTGATCTCAACTTTTGCAAAATGAGTTCATAGGCTGCACAAATATTTTCCATGGAAAGTTTTTTGTGGAGTAACCATAATCTCGAAAGTATCAGCTAATAGGGAATGGACCAACTATAATATTTAAACTCATAACAGTTCTCATATGTTCTGATCTTGATGCTTGCTATCATTTTTTTAATCAAACCTGGGGGTATAAGGGATAGATAGCTATGGTTTTGATATATTTTGATATTTTTCTTTCTAATTGTTACATGTACGTTTTAGGTAGGTACTCAGTATGGTTTAGTACATAACTAATATATTGTCTTGTTCTATGGCTTGATGCATGTTCTCTTACCTTTTCTTATTCTTTTGGGCTCTTTTAATTGGGTCAATTATCCTGAACCTTAACTCTGGTAGTTATGCTCTTAAAGTTTACTTCTCATCTTTTAATTTGTAGATTCGAATGGAGACACCATCTGGCATTAAAGATTCCATACCTGCTTGGATCAATTTCTCTGTACAAGCTCTAGGTGAAATCCCGTACAGTGGTGTATACTATGATCCACCAGAAGAGGTATGGTTCTGTAATCTTTTATTTCTCTAGGTTTGCCAAAACATTTCTGAGAAATTTATGATTTAGGCATGTCTAAGAATCTTTTTAGTATAAAAGCAAGAGTGATTTCAAATTCAGCAATAACATTAGGAAGGATTTATGTATAGTTTTTAAATAATTGTGTAATTTTGAGTATGCTATATTACACAGAACTCTTACCATACCATAACATTGACACCTGTGGAGATGCACTTTGTTAAACATAAGATTGTGTATCATCAGTGAATTTTATATTTTTAGTATATGGGCTTCCATTTATGTTCTTAGATGAACTAACAGATGCTATTATATAAAGTTCATTAAACACTCGATACGATGAACTGGAAGATGTTAGTCCATTTATATCTGCTACTCCTTATATTGTTAATGTTAATCTTTCTTGTAGGAAAAGTATGAGTTTCAACATCCTCAACCTAAGAGGCCGAAATCACTTGGAATTTGTGAGGCACATGTTGGAATGAGTAGCACAGTGTGCATCTCCTTCATTCTCCTAACTATTATTCAATGCTTCTAGCGCTTGCTATATGTTAGCTTTGAGTCCTCAATGTCAAAACTGCTGGATCTTGTTTCTTGATGTATAACTGAATGCTACAATATGTAGGATCGCATCTTAAAAAGCATGTTAAGCTTGTGTTAGAAGTTTGCAAGTAAAATGGTTTTGTGGTGATCATGCACTCCATGATGGTTAGTTGGGCCGCATAACACAACCAATCTAAACTAAGCTTGCATAAACTCGTAAGAGGAAGCATCTATGACTGACATATGGCATTCTTTGAGGAAGAGAAATACTGGCCTTGCATCCTATTTTATTGAAATCCAAGTTTGAAGAATTTTAGGTTCCAATTAACTTGCAGATATAGATGCTCTATTAGGTGGAATTTTAGGTGGAAAGCAATTGGCTATAAGCTAACAACATGAAAACCTTAACTATTATCATACCCGTTTTAACAACAGAAAAAAGAAAATCCATACAGCAAAAAGGAAAAGTGCTACAGACACCGGGCTTTTACACTGAAATTTTGTACTAGCCTACGTGTTCCTGACTCAGAATCAAATTTTTTCTAGTGAATGGCCGTCCATAAAATATGGACGGCCGTTCACTTACATGGACCCCCGTCTATATAATATGGACGGGGGTCCATTTACTACGGACGGGCGTCCCCATTTAGAGAACGCCCATCCATCAGTAAATTGAATAAAAAATATTAAAAAAATTAGGGACGGTCGTTCATAGGTTATGGACGGCCATCCATAAATATTGGACGGGCGTTCATATGTTAATGGACGCCCGTCCATAAATAATCGTTTTTAAAAATTAAAAAAAATTAAGGGACGGCCGTTCATCAGTGATGGACGGCTGTCCCTAATTTTGGACGGGCGCCCGCAAATCAGGGACGCCCGTCCTTTTTTCAAAATATAAAAATTTTAAAAAACCTGGAACGCTTGTCCATAAATTGTGGACGGGCGTCCCTAATGTGTGGACGGGTGTCCGTATGGAATGGATGCCCGTCCATAATTTGTTTTTTAAATATTTAAATAAATATTTGGACGCTTGTCCATAACCTTAAGTTTGGACGAGCGTCCATAAGGAATGGACGCCCGTCCATTACGAATGGATGACCGTCCATATGTAATGGACGGCCGTCCTTTTTTTTTGGATGGGTGTCCCTACTCTAATTAAGTTTAGGTTAAAAAGTAAAAAATTTTGGGGGAAGTGTTTAAAAAACAAATCAACCGCGGTCTCTTCTTCTTTTTCTTCCATCTACGCTCTGGTTCATCGTCTTCTTCATCTCATCTGCGCTCTAGTTTTGTCTTCTTCATCTCATTTGCACTCTAGTTGTTGGTCTTCCTCATCTCATCTGTGTTGTTGTTCTTGGTCTTCGTCATCTGCCATTGGTAATCAATCACTTTCGTTTTTCAATTCTTTTTTTTCAATTTTTTTCAATTTTTTTTTTTTTTTTGTTGGATGAATGTGTTGGATTCTACGTTTGTGTTTAATGGAGTTGAGTTGATAAAGAGAAATCTAGTCAATTTGGTGGGACTGGTTTGTGTGATTGACAAATAGAAGTGTTCTGTTTTGAGTGTTTTTGGCGTGGAAAAAGCTAACATATTTGTTGGTTGGGAGCAAGTCATTTTTATGATTCTTACAAGGAAGCTAAAAAGTTTGGAGGGTTTGTGGGGCACTGGTTAACTGTAGTACATTCTGTGTATTTACCTTCTGCTTATCAGTTTCCAGTAGTATATATCAGCAATAGAATTAGGTGCAATTATATGTGTAGACGTTCAGGCTTTGGATTTTGCCAACACTTCACTATGAATAATAAAATGGAAAATGGACATCCAAGAGTCAAGTGTTCTTTATGAAAGATAAAGAAAAAGTAAAATGGGCAGTGCATTCATAAAGCAGAGAGTCCAAGTAACTGTCTGCAACTTTGGTGTTAAAGTCTTGGCTCCACCATTGCAATAATTCAACTTCATAGTGGTGCTTTTTTAAAGTAAAAGTTTTGGTTGCCTTCTAATGTCTTCTTTTTTCTTCCTAGTGGTTCATGTTGTGTTTTGTTTGTTTTTTTAAAGTAAAATGGCTAGGTATGCTGTTAGGCTCTCCAGTTTAGTTTATGTTTGTCATACTCCTATAGAACCATTCACTGTAGAAAAAACCAACTAAATCCAGGGAAACAGGGGACTTGTTTTTGGTTGGCAGAAGGTGTTCCAAAAAAGGCTTATACTTGCATGAAAATTTTATCCTTTATTTTCCACACGCTAATCTCTTTTGTCAAGGTCTGTCAATAAAGAGAATCTGGTTGTCCCCTCTAGGAAACTGGTTTTGGATTTTGCCTCCAGAAGGGATATGGCCAAGCTTTCTTTATAAACTGGAATGAAATGCCTATTTCTTTATAAACTGCTATTTATGTTTTCTTGTAAAGGATGAAAACTTTCTTTATATGACTGTGAAATACAGTGTAGCTATTCAAATTTCCTAAGGTAGACAAATCTGAGAATATGATATCTTTTTATATTTACTAGTCCGATGAGAGTATCAATATTCTAGTGTTCTAAGTAGCCTAAGAATCATATTTGAATGCAAAATGTTGCATTTTCTTCTGCCTGATTTGTTGGTGAAAGTGGTCATGTTTTGGAAATTCTTTCCTAGATATTCCATGTAATGATGCAGCAGAAAATTGAGTTTTCAACAGTGTGTTTTCTTTGAAATTTTCTTTGTACTTTAGATTGAAAATAATGGGCTCACTATTATATCCACTCTGGCATATGTGATTCATGTATTAATGTGAATGCATGTAGCATCATATAAAATGTGCAGGAGTTGCTGTCCTCATGATTTTATTGTTGGTTTGAAGTAAGAGTGGCTATAGCTTTAGTTGGAACTAGGATTGGTGTTACTTACTTTACTACCTTTGTTACCTTCAACTGTGAAGGGTATTTGGTGAAGTGAGAACTATTTTTACATCTTGCTGATGTCTTGGAAAATCTAGTAGTACTCTGAGACTTTATATATGTTTAGCTTATCAGTGTCTTTAAAATTTTTATCATGAATTGTAACGACTTCATTCTAACAGCATATTTTATAACATATACTATGAAAACATACATAATTAGCATATGAAAATAGTTGGGCCCAAATTTTTCTTTACATACAAAATATAATTCTTTACATATATCAAAATAACAAGTACAAAAACTTAGCAACGGTGGACAGTAATGCCAATTCTCTCCGCTTGTCGACGTCCTTCCGACCGCTGCTCACCTATTTCCTGCAAAAACGTGGAAAAACAACGGGGTGAGCATAAAAATGCTCAGTAAGTAAATCCCTCAACTTTTCTTCTTCTTTGATTCTTTCCTTACTTAATTCTCTTCTTCTTTCTTTCTCTGTTTCTACTTTTCACTATTCTTTTCTTTCTTTCTAATTCTCTCTGTTTCTTTCTTTTTGTGTTCTTTCTGTTCTTACTCTTTCTATTCTTTCTCTTCTTGCTACTCTTCTATTCTTTCTAACCATAATAAAATTCATGGGAATATGCATAAATGAAATGCATATGCAATAATGCATAAAAATGCATTTTATTTCTTCTTTCTATTTCTTTTATTTTCTATTCTTTTCTTTTTCTTTCTATGCTTTTCTTTTCTTTCTTGTCTTGCTTGCCCAAGCTTCTCTTTTCTTTCTTGTTTCTTTTCTTTTATTTTCTTTGCTTGTTCAAGCTTTCTCATTATTTCTTATTCTTTTTTTTTCTTATTCTTTGCCGCTCGGACTCGGTTGATGTATGGATTCGGCACCTTGGCCGTGTGCGTGAGTACAATCCTCATCTACATGCACTCTTGCAGACCGTACAAATTCTTCTTTCTTCTTAGGCCACTCAATTAAGGTGACGAGCATGTAGGAATTCTTCTTTGTACAACCCTCATCCACATACACTCTTACGGGTCGTATAATTCTTCTTCTTCTTATGCCACTCAATTAAGGTGACGTGTATGTGGGAATTTCTTCTTAACACTCACGGTTTCCGATCACACTAACCTATTATTTTCTCTTTTTTTAACACTTTTTCTTTCTTTAATTCTTTAATGCTTATTCTTTCTTTCTCTTTATTCTTAGAATGTTTTATTCTTTCTTAAGTTTCTACACATACACAATTATATGCATATGGATGGCTCATGCTTAAAATTTCTTACTTAAATGCACTTATGAAATGCACATATGCAATGTTGCATAAAATTAAGGTTTCTACTCAACTCATACTTCTCTTAGACATTTCATCAAACAATACTTATACATAAACAAACCCTAATGTAATTATCATTCTATTTGTTTCTTAAACCATCCAAATTGAAAGAAAAATTCTCTTGTAACATCACCATACCTACACGGCAAAAACACTCCCAAAAGTTTCTCAAATTCTTCCAATTTCAACCCATCATTAAACCATCACATACATTCCTCATATTCAAATATATCCAACAACAAGCATAAATAATCATCCGTCTCATCTCAATTTCTCAATAATCATAACATATGCATATTTAAAAGAAATCTATACTCACTTGATTTTCTTAAACTTTAACTTGAGTTGGATTTTGAGTGGAATTTACTTACCTTATGCTTGAGTAGTCTCTCATAAGCTCTCTTCTCTTGTTGGATTCAAATCTTCTCTTAACCCTAAGCATAAACTTCATAAGAACTGAACTTTTACACAAATAAATCATAGATAAAGAGCATAAATTCTTACCTTTTGAAGCCTAAAATCAAAGCCCTATGAAAAACCACAAAAAAGCCCTCAAAATCCTTGGAGGGTTGAATGAAAATTTGAGAGAAAATGGGGGAGGAGTGTGGGGTGGAATGAAGAAAATAAGGGTTTCAAACCCTTAAAACTTTAGTTTATAAACATACTTTCCCATTTTGCCTTTACTCTTTCTTGAAAATTCCATCTATATCCCTTAGTCAATTACCATAATGCCCTCATTTTTAATGCAATCTCTATGAAATTCTATCTCTTTTCACTCCCCACTTTTTCAACTAATTTTGAGTGAAAAGACCTTTTTACCCTTAATGCAAATTTAAGGCATTTTCTTCATATTCTCTTAAAACCACTTTAACAAAAATTAACTAAGGGCTATAAAAACATAAATTAAATCATGTACCTCCATGCTGGGCGTTACA